TCCCTCCCTCCCTCCCTCCCTCCCTCCTACTCCCTGCCTCTTGCTCCACTGCCCCTCGTCCCTTCCTCCCCGACTCCTCAGTTCGCCGCCCCCACCTGCAGGATGAGGATCTGCTTCTCCACTTGGCTCACGCCCAGCTTCTCCCTTCTGCACCTCCCTTGTCACCAACTCCCTCCTGCCCCCCCCCCACCACCACCAGCTCCCCACCTGCTGACTTCGAGGACGACGGCGTTGGAAGGCAGCGGCGGTACCTCCATGTCTTCACCTCTGCTCGACGCCCGCAGGGTCAACGACGGCACTACGACCCGGAGGTAGAGGAGGAGGAAAGCGAGAGGAAAGTCCAGCAGGGGGCCAAGGCTCTGCGCTCCCCAACCACACGCAGAGTCAGGCGACACGGCAGAGCAGCTGGGAGGGCAGGTGGGACCTTCATGCTGCCCAGGTTGCTCCAGGCCGATGTGCTCAACCCTGTCGCGGACCTGCGAGGTGATCACCGAAATTCGCCACCTCGGCACGCAATTCCTCCTGCTCCTCCTCATCATCATCATCATTATCATCATCATTATCATCATCATCCTCCTCCTCCATCATCTTCTCCACAACCACAACCACCATCTCTACCGTTTCCTCTCACTCACATGCGGCGAAGTTCCCTCAGAAATGGTTCGAGATGAAGGCAAGGCCATACGATCTCCGCGAGCAAAAGCAGCAGCTTAAAAATTCAGCATAAGAAGACAGTAAGTAGGAAAGACGTAATGAGGAGCAGGAACAGAAGAAACATGTGAAGGAGCAGGAGCAGGAGCAGGAGCAGGAGCAGGAGCAGGAGCAGGAGCAGGAGCAGGAGCAGGAGCAGGAGCAGGATCATGGAGCTAAATTGAAGGAGGTGAGAGGGAGAGGAGGGTTCGCTCTTCACCGCGCCCAGCGGATGCTCCGAATCCACCGCAATGATGACAGTCAGCACGGAAGCCACGACCAGTGCTCGACTGCCATGTGAATGTTAGCCGACTTCCTCGCTTCCATATGTAAAGGAGACGAGATGGGCACGTGGGGGGAGGGGGGTTGATAGTATGAGTAGGATACTGTTATGGAGAAGGGAAGGGAAGAAATTGAGAGGGAGGAGAGGAGATGGGGAAGGGAAAACCAGGAGAGAGGAGAGGGAGAGCGGGAGTGCAGGATGGTGAGGGCGGTGGCGAGAAGGCTACGGACTGAAGAGGGGGAAGAAAGAGAGGAGGGAGCGAGAGGAGGGAGAGGAGCAGGGGGAGGGAAGAAGAAGTCAACTCACACGAATCTTTGGGAGAAGATTCTCTTGGCGTACTTCTCCCACTTGGTGTCGAGGATCTGCCGGCCCGTCATCCTCCTCCGACCCCCCGAGCCTCCGAGTCTTCGACCTTGTCCAGGGGGCCCTCGCTGATGATGTCCAACCTCTCGCTCTCCACCACCACCTGACGGCAGTCACAACAACCCAGAGGGTCAGGGCAAAGGATTCGAACTCTCGCTCTCCACCCTCTCCTCTCCTCTCCTCTCCTCTCCCCTCCCCTCCCCTCCCCTCCCCTCCCCTCCCCTCTCCTCTCCTCTCCTCTCCTCTCCTCTCCTCTCCTCTCCTCTCTCCCCCCGTTCTTCTGTCTTATCTACCCCATTCTCCACTCCAGCCCTCAACATTTTCTCTCTCATCGACCTCCATTCCCCTCTTTCCGTTGCATGACCTTCCTTCTCCCTCGGTCCCTCCCCATCCTCCTCGTTTCCCTCTCATCCGCGTTTGCCTGAATGCCGTCGAACAAACACACTGAGGTGTCTCACCTCAATGACGCTCTTACTCATTTGTTCCCTCGTGTCAATCGGAATGTCAACTCTGCGAACATCATGACTTGACATGCATGTGTTGACAACATGAATAGCGTGGAGACGAGTACCATCCTCATCTCCAACTTCATCCTCGTCTCAATCATCCTCATCTCCAACTTCATCCTCGTCTCAATCATCGCCTCCATCATCGTTTGTCGTCGTCATCATCATCATTTCCATCATCATCATCACCAACACTACCAACATCACCACCATCATCATTTCCATCATCATCATCACCAACACTACCAAGATCACCACCATCATCATTTCCATCATCATCATCACCAACACTACCAAGATCACCACCATCATCATTTCCATCATCATCATCATGGTCTCCGACTCGCAGTCATCACCCGTGCAGATAAAGTCTCGAGCAGGTCACGGGCCCATACTGCCACTCCTGGCGATGAGATCATCTCACAACATCTGCCTGGGACGCGGCAGCCACTCAACCTTCTTCATCAGCTTCTGGAAGAGATGGTCGAACATCTTGCGCGATCCCCTGCCGAAGTTTCACTCGAGCACGCAGCAAGACCTCCGCGCAAGTCAAAACTTTCAAGGCACGTGGCGTACACGCACTGATCGCACACAACAAGGCCTCCTGACAGGGGACACGTGACAGACTTGCTGTGACTCACCTTGCTGCGCAAAGGGTGAGAGGAGTGTATCCTTCCACATCCTGAGCGTCCCACATCTCTTCATAGATCCCCTAGTCTCCCACCATCACCATCCCCGAGCACAACCGCGTCCTCTCCCCACCTTCTCCATCATCAGCTTCTGGATATGGTCAAACATGTCTCTGCGACAGGCCGTCAGCTGTCATCGTCATTCCGCACCTTGACACGTCACCTGCACCACTCGCACGGATCGTCGTAATGACTCTCGAGCGCCGTGGCCTCGAAGATGTCGGAGTCGACATCCTGCTGAGGCCTAGCAGGAGATGACTGTCAAGTCGCCTCCGCGTGTTGCCCAGCAGGGGCCTTCTCTGTACCTGTGGACGCTGTGGAGGACAAGAAGGTGCAGGAGGTTTCGGTGGTTGCCAGTGAAGATGTCAAGTTTGGCTCCCTGTCATCGATGTGAGCAGGAGAGGATGTTGGGTGGGATGAGTGGAGGGGAAGGGAGGAGCTGGAGGAGTAGAAGAAGGACAAAGACATCATCTGGGAAATGACCAGCACCAGCATCAGCACCAGCACCAGCACCAGCACCAGCACCAGCACCAGAGAGGTAGAGGAGGTGGTCTTTCTTACACACTGCACGAGGTAGTCGAACGTGTCCTTCTGATTCGAGCACGCTGCAACCATCATCATCATCATCGGCTGCCCTGACAGCAACCAACGACGTCACTGTCACCTGCAAACGCCAGCGGATACTCTCCGAAGTTGCAGCAACCATCGGACTCTCTGCACACACCCGTCAAGTCAAACTCACCAACGCCATGGGAGGAGAGTCACCTCGGGTCTGAGAAGAACCTCCCCGTAGCTCTCTGCTCCAGTAGAATCTTTCCCTCCTTCGGGCTCAAGAACTTCTGGATGACCTGGATCCCCAGCCTCTTCACGATCGCGATATGCAGCACGTTCTCCCCGTGATAGAGCTGCCCCTCGTAGATGGCGCATCGGAGGGCAGGGTATGTGTCCCACAGGTCAAAGATCATCTTCTTGTGCGCCTCTGAGCTGCAGTACAGGACAGCAAGGTGCAACGGCGTCTCCCCCATCACCCCCCGCTCTTCTCCCACCTGCCAGAGCTGGTTGGACTTGGCGTTGGCGGCGACGAAACTCTGTTGCCCCTCCAGAGTGTCGGCGTAGCTGACTGCATGCCAGATGGTACCCTTCTCCAGCTTCTTCAGCACCTGCTTCGCATTTTGGGTGTTGGCGTCTGAATCGTGGCTGAGCTGCTTCCCGGCCATCGCCATGTCAGAAACTGACCAGGATCGGAGGAGAGAGAAGATCCTGCTGATATCTTTACCCAAGAGTCTCCGAACAGAGTTGACCGCTGCCGTCCCCTCTGATCAAATTCATAGCATCAGAGTCAATCGGTATGCACACAAAGATGACTGACCGTTCGCACAGTCCAGCGCCTGTGTATCCGCCGGGGAGAGCTGGGAAATAGAACCAGGAATGTTCGAGCTATCAGAGTTGTCTGCATCTTCCCGCTGGGATTGTGCTGGCTGCGACTCTATCCGAGTAGCGGTAGTGGCGAAGTAGATTGCGCTGAACCTGTCGTCTATGCTCTGAGACAACCTGCGCCCGCGATAGTGCTTCGGGGCCTTGAAGTCATGCAATGGCTCCTGCGAAGGATCAGAATGTTCTGTCTGTTGTTGATCGGACTCTGCTGGTGCTGCTGCAGTTGTGTCTGGCAGTGAAGGCGATGATGATGGGTCGTGTTCGACGTGCTCGATGTGCTCGGGAGCATTCGAGTCTGCCGGCAGAGGATTTTGTGGATGTGTCCTGTGAGGTTTCCTTGAGCAAGCTGCTGCAAGGACAGCAAGATCGGCTCACCTCTGAGACTTGCTGGCCTTAGACACGTTCTCTAGATCCGCCTCGAGCTTCCGTTTCGAGTGCGACATGAGGCAGGAGGAGGGCGGAGGCTCAGAGTCCTACCACGAAAGGTACTGAGCCGAATGATTCATACCCCACAGACAACTGCATGTGAGACGAACTTCCAGCAACATCCCAGCACAAACTTCATCGTTCATAGCAACTCAGACTTCATCGTATCATCTTCATCCTCTGACCATCGCGTCGATCATCGCCTACTTTTACCTTTCACCACCAAGATGCTCCTGCCATTGCGGCTGCAACCCTCATACAGCTATTAGAAGCTGTCACTAAAAGTAGTTCGAGAGCCTCCCCGGAGCATCCCGGGGCCCGGGCCGCCCGGCGGCAGGCTCCGATAGGCTCACAGAGCCTGTCAGCGGCTGCCTCCCAGGCAGTGGAGTCCGGGGTAGCGGCTGAGCCTCAGTACTAGTAGCTGAGTGCGGCCAGGCCGGGGGGCCCTAGGCACTGGCTTAGTTAGCCGGCGGGGCTGACTGCGGCAACCCGGCGGCGCTGGGAACTCGGAATGCCAGTACGGTGGGTGGCTCAGAGAAGAGTCTAATGCCACGGGCCTCCTTGATTTGTGTGGGCGGGGCGCCATTACGACATCCGATCATCGGACTGCAGTGCTGCCCCACGCCGCAAGGATTATGCCAACATGATGTGATACGCGGCGGTGGACTGAGGGGGCGGCCGCAGGGCGACTCAGTGGCACTGTGATGGAGGAGGCTCAGCATTGACTCAATGCTGAGGGTGGGGTCTACTCCAGGCAAGGGCAGAAGACCCCCAGGCGCCATGAGGGGGGGACGGAATACAAGTTTGTTAGACTTGTACTAGTCCAAAGTCACGCCGACATCACATCGACCTTAGTTGTAACAAGACAGTTTTTGCTCAAGACCGAGTTTAATGCACACAAAATCAGAATTGAGGAGCACATGAGAGATAGACTGTATGCTAGGATGTGAAACCCAAGCATCCAGACATGAGAGGACCTTAGCAAGACGGCTAGGAAAGCCCCCTCTTCGTCCCACACGCTACATTGGCCGCCTCGCCACGTAAGTCGTCTTGGTTTACAGGAGAGTTTTTGTTAACTCGGCGCTATCTGACTGGCACGGCTGGCATACGTTCAAGGGCCATCTGAAGGACTGGTACAAATATCAATTAGAGCCGTGTCCATGATTAGTACCCGGCAGAAGGACAGCCCAGGCTTGATCGAGTATTAACTAAAGCTATAAGCAAACGTAACGGTTAAGTTACGCCGAACCCCGCGCTCTTGACAGGCTCAGTGATAGTACCGTTCATTTAAGTTACCAGTGACTCGGACTGCTGTGCTCAATGATACTAGAACTTGAATGATGGCCCAGTGCCGCATATTATGTTAGTTTATGAATGTAAGAAGAAAGGTTGTTGCTCAGATGTCTGAGTTTGAGAGTCAACGTGACAACATCAGCAGTCTCGCTGAATTGAAAGTTCTGCAACTCATCCGAGGTCTCATCTATCTCTTGGATCAGTTCCTGTAGAAAGAAAATCAATTCAGAACAGAGGAGAGGCGGTTGGCTATGTTGCTGTCTGACCGTTTGAAATCCTCCCTGCACTCACCTTACTAATATGTTTGACATCAGCTGGCGCTTTTCTTTCCACTGGTTGTTTGAAGGGCATGGTGACTTTTTTAGACCAAAGGTCTAATACATCCGCGTGCTTGTTGTAGAAATCCTGTTGCTGTCTCTTCCACTTTCGAATGGTTTTGTTGATAGATTTCATCTGCCACAGGCGTGTGAGTTGCTCTTTGTCATGACTATCTTCAGAAAATTTACCTCGTGTGTTATCTTTCCTTCCACATTGCCCTCAAATTCTTCCAAGAGTTCTCTGAACGCTTCTTTGTTTGAATGTTTGTTATCAATCTCCTTCTTGAAGAGCGCAATCATATCGTCAATACTTTCCTTGACGTATTGTTCACTCAAAGAAGTTTGTTTTTTGGGGTCATACCCAACATCAGGCGACTGATCTGAGCCCTCTGGGCCCCAAAGGTACAAATGTCGTGCTATGAGTAAGCTGAGCTTCTTTATGTCGCAACGGCCGCCACTCTCAGAAGATTTCAGGGCTGCCACAAAATCGATGTGCTCAGCGATTTTCTCAGAGCTTTTTTTGGTAATATTGTAACCCTTCAAATCCTCCGATTCAAAGGTGTAGGTCATCTCAGGTATCGTGTTGAAGAATTGCTGTAGAATCCACGTCAACTCTGCCAAGATAGGTTGCAGACAGTTGGACACGCAAGATATCTGCCTAATTCGATTGATGAACATATACTGCTTCTTCAGATGCTCTTCATTCTGCGTGAATCCAGCAAGGCACACAAAAATGCAACCGATAAAATCGAGCAAGGGAGTGAGATTAAGAGTTAGAACGGTTCCATGCAACTTAGGTTTGCAGGTTCGCATGATCCTTCTTGCAACGAGAGAGTAAGAGGAGATATGTGCGTTCTGCTTCCCACCCTCTGCATTTGCTCGTTGCCAGCTACTCACAACAAGCTCCCCGGGATAATGCAATGTGACAGATACTTTTGAAGGCGTGATAGATTCACCAGATTTCTCGGACTTCGTGTCGATCTTCCTGTCACCCTTGATGCTTGAACTTTCAACCGCACGGAAACGACGTCTCAGCACAAGTCCAACTTCTGACTTGTTGAAGTAGATTTCCTCTGTCCTGTTCCATCTTCCGTTTGCTGCGAGGAAATCTCCGATGAAGTGAGAGTTGTAGAAATGTAGAAAAAAACATGGGATCTCTGAGATCGTCACAGTCTTGGAAGACTCTCTTGCAGCTCTTTGAGAATTTGTTGTGTTAACTTGGAAGAAAATGGTCTAAAGCGCTGTCAGCGGTCATAAACGAGTGTCATGTCAAGAACTCACCTGTGGGACATGATAAGGACAGCGAATCTCGAACAAACTGGCGATGTATCGGAAAGTGTCACCCGGTTGCACGACACAATCTGAGATCGGACCACTTCTCCCTGGAAGTAAACGCAATTTACGTTGTTTGTTCAATGCTCCACAAATTGGTTTAAGTAGTTTGTTTTCAGATGCAACCTTCAACACCTTGGTCAACACGTCGTCTGAGAGATTGACATCCATCTTGCTGGTCTGAATACTTGAATTTCCGCCAAAGTCGAGTACTTGAATTCGCAATTTGTAGTCCAAATCCAGCGTCATACTTGGCATTCTTTGGTTCACTACATCGTCCTCACTTGTCTCGGTGATGATCAGATCTTCTCCTTCCGAATCAGTGCTCTGATTTTGAGGGTCGTTGTACGAATCAGACATTTGTGATTCGCCGGAGTGAGAACAGGGGTTGGAGCAAGGGCAGGTGACGGAGCGAGTGCCCTGTGACAGCGACAACGGGGAAAGGAGTCGTAGGAGTAGAGGTAGGGGGCGAGCAGAGCTGGAGCAGAGCCTCAGTTGGGGACCCAAGTTAACTAAAAAAATAGAAACTGCCGGCTGAATGTAACGGTCGCAATGGTCAGCGAACTTCTAGTAACGTTCGCAACAGATGGACAGCTTCCAGAATTAGGCAAGGAACCGCAAGGCTCGATTCGATATAGAAGGAACCGAAATGGGGCCCAGGTATAGGAAATAAGGAACCGTATGAGTTTACAAGGAACCTTCTTCCCGAAATAGAACAAAAAAGAATCGCCCTTAAGAAGCCCTGTCCCTCCACCCTCTCCACTAGCATACTTGGTAAGCGATATGGCACGGAGGAGCGATGGTGACGTAGATGTAGTGATGGGATGCAAGGGTGTTGTTGTTTGGTGAAGAAGGACTTCTTGCCTCGCTTGCACATGTTTTGTTTGTTGGGCTATGCAGTTCGTTTTGAACATGCTGGGGCTTGTTTGGACGAAGGGACAAGGGTGTCTTTTCGCACCGTCTTGTTAAGATGCTGCTTCTGTCGCATAACTGAGTTCATTTCTATTTGATCATATAACATTGTTCAAACCGATTTATTTCTAACTCTCCTACAGCAGAAATGTTCCAGACTGTTGCCAAGGCCCAGACCACCGAGCTCTGGATGTGGAAGATGGAGTACCTCCACCACGAGCAGCGCCCCCTCTACTTCGGCGAGTGGTTCTAAATTTTCTGCTCGTATGAGGAAATGATTATCGTTTCACAATAAACGTTTGTTAAATTGATCATGGAGCTGTGTTGGTGGAGTGGTTATTTGTTCGGGGCTTCAGGGACTTTCCTCAGAGGAATTTACTGAGTAATCAGAAATGTTTGAGCATTGTCTTACTTTTACAAGAGGATGCTGATTTGTCCGAATCCTCGCGTCTTGAGCATGTCGTGCACTTGCTGGGTTGCCATGTCCGATACCAAGTTGCCTGCGGTGCTGTATCTTAGCAAATCGCTGCATAATTGGGGACTTCATACTACGGAGAAAGATAGAGCGAAGTGAAGGAATATGCTGGCATCCCGCCTGTCGCGTGCAGAGTTATCAAGATGGAGAGAGGAGAGAGGAGGTACGAGGAGCGGCACTACTGGATCCTGGCAGCGGTTCCCGTCCATGTCCAAGACCTCGAGCCTGGGAGTGGCATGAGAGTTGGTAAGAGTGAGGACAGGGTCTGGGGTACCTCGACTTGGATTCAGGAACCTGGAGCCAACGGAGGATGAAGGATACGCTGCAGAGTCTTATCGTCAGCCTCGAGCTTCATGGCAGCGGCTCCTCCGTCTCAACCCCCTCTCGGTAATCCGGTTGTCCGCCAAGTGCAAGCGACGCAAGGAGGACGCCGACAGGAGCATGGCTCCAAGGACGATGAGGTAGGAGTCCTCGAGGTCGCAACCTCTCAGCTGTTCAGCGTCAGCTGGAACAGCAGGGGCGCGTTCAGTCCCTGACCTCCAAGTGCACGATAGGGAACCAGCTGCCTGTACATCACAACGTCATGCTCCTCCTCTGACCAACGTGAGGGGCTGTTGATCGACCTGCCGCCCTGACCAGCCGCTTGCAGCCATCGATTCCGATCGGGTTCTTGTTGAGCATGAGCTTGATGCCTCCCAGGTGGGAACTCTTGAACGAGTCCTGGTCCAGGAGGTTGGACCCTGTTGAAGCGCAGGTTTAAGATTGTGTTCTCAGCTTTCCTGGTAACCTGCAAACGCGTCGTTGGCTGACACGTTCAAGTCGACCTAGGGACGCTCGTCAGGTCGACTTGAGAGGGGTCACCAGACCAGGCGAGGGAAGTAAAGGAAGATCTTGTTCATAGGAGGAGACACATCCTCGCTGAGAAACATCTTGTTGGAAGACAGGTTCAGCGAAGTCAGTCCTGTTGAAGCTCTGAGAACTCTTAAAGAGCTCCTCGTCCGCATCACGTACCCGTGTTGGTGTTGAGCTGCAAGAAGAAGTTGGTGGCTCCTTCAGTCCCCAACCAGTTCGAGCTGGCGTCCACGTGCTGACATTTTGTCTGTCAACCTCGACGCAAGTCAAGTCATGTATCGTACTTGGATGCGACTCGACGCCGCCAGCAGCCGTCCAAGGTATCCGCCTGCCATGGTATCTGTCACGAGCGCCCAGAGGACGCACGGGTTACGCTACCGCCGTCTACCCCCAGATCGTTCCTGCAGACGCAGAGCCATCGCAAGCTCTGGTTGATCACGAGACTAAAGTCGCCGGTCATTCCATTTGCCTCCTCCCCTCCTCCCCCTAACCAGTCGCAAAGCTGACGGAACTGCGTCGATCCCATTCCGTTGCCTCCCAGGTCCAACCTCGTCAGCTGGAGAGTCAAAACGCCTCGTGAGTTGGGGCGGAGGGTTCCAGAGAGCCCTCACAGAGATCGAGAGGAGAAGAGAGTGCAAGAATCTTGACATCCCCAGCTTCAGCCCAGCTGCTGTTCTCTGCTCTTCCTCCCCCGGTGCTCCATCCCCTGCTCGTTCACTCATCGTCATCCCAAGGCATTAGCCCTCGCATTCACCAGGAAGAGATGATCCTGCTCTCTTCTCTCCGAACTTCAAGCTGTTAGCTCAACAGCGTCAGATCTAACAACATGGTCAGAACGCGATAACCAGCTCAAGTCCAGGCTAGTGATGGACGTGTTGATAGTCATACAGTCTGCTATCAGGTCCATCGCATCTCCGTCCAGCGGGTTCCCACTCAGACGCAAGTCGGACAGGCGCGTCTGTTGACTGAGCCCAAGAGACACCCACCTGAAGCCCTGGCTCGAGATGAAATTGCTGCTGAGGTCGATGAAGGAGTAAGAGGACTTCTCTTCCACCAGTGCTCTGCCGATCTAGGTGACAGGACGCGTCAGTCAGAGACAGCTTGAGGCGGTCGGCCTCGGGTACTGCACCTGCTCCGCCCATTCGTCATCGATGCTCTGTGAATTCATCCTTATTTCTCCATCCTTGAGAGTTTGAAGTCGCAGGGCCTCTAAGATCCTTCCCGTCCTCCTGCTCACGTTCTGTCGGATCCCTTGCCCGCTCCTCAGCACCTGGTGGTCCCACGCCTAGCGGCACCTCAACCCTCAAACCTCCGCCCTCGCTCCTCACTGGTTTCTTGAGCTGCCTGTAGAATCGTGTGGTCATCCCTGCTGACTTCAAGCGAGCGTCTGCGGTCCTGGCTGCCTGGATGGCTTGCGCGTTGAACTGCATCTCTTCTTGCAGAAGATTCCGATGGAGAAGGTCCATCCTTTGAAAGAGATGAGAAGAGCATCAGCATGGAAGGCAAAGAGAGAAGGTGAGGGAGAGGGAGAGGGAGAGGGAGAGGAAGGCAACGAGTGAAATATGCTCCTGAGTCACCTTACGGAAGCTTCTAGGAGTTCAGCTCGATACTTTGCAGCGACTTCCTCTTGCTGTACATCTTGACGTTCATGCGGGGGATCAACGCGACCCTGAGCTACAGCAGCAGCTTGAGAAGTCAAAGTCTCGCTGGGAGACTTGAAACTCGTCGACCCTTCTAGCTTGCTGCCTCGTCCCTGCTCAGCACGTCAGCACTCGACTCCTTCCCCACTCGAGACGCCACCTGCGTGCGGCTCCATTGCTCCTTCCACTCCTTCCACCATGCCTCATCCTGGAGGACCTCCGGGAGCTCCTCGTAGAGCTCTGGTCTCAATGGATCACCACGGACAAGGACAGGACAAGGGCTGCCTCACCTTCCAAGGAGTACATCTTGCTGCTTGCCTGCTACGCGCTCGCCTCTCAGCGATCACTCTCCTTGACCATGAAGCCTGGCAGCGGCAGCGGGATATGCATCAGATGATGCATGCTCAGAAAAGTGACTATAAATCAAGGAATCATCACTTGATCAGTGAAAATGTCAGGAAAACTTCTCAAAAGATGTGGGTGGCGATGAATCGACTTATCTTGTTCTGTGCTTTCCATTGATCTTGCATCTCCCTTCTTCTCCTGACTCCACTATATTGGTCTCTGCCCACTCTATCATAGCTGCGTACCTCCTCGTCCACCACCACCACCACCTCCTCCTCCTCCTCCTCCTCCTCCTCCTCCTCCTCTCCATCTTGAGCACAGTCTCGCGAGTGTTGACCATACTCAGTTCCTACCGCTGAGGGCAGCAGGTCGTTGGCTTCATGGGATACCTTCCTTGTTCCACTGTCCTAAGATATCAGCGAGGCGGGCCCGATTTCATGGAGAAACTCGCACTTGATGCCGCTCAGCCCAGCTCAACGGCTTTGAGAGTCAGTCGGAGGATGAGAAGAATGCATGTGAGGAGGAGGAGGAGGAGGAGGAGGAGGAGATGGTGGTGGAGGAGGAGGGCGGGAGGTGTGGACTGACGTGAAACGACAAATTGACAATTTAACCTGACATGATAGAACATTTCTAGACATACCTCGACTATCGATACAATTCGGATTCAAAGTCCTCCTCGTCCTCCTCCTCTACCTTGGTCAAGTCACTGGCCTGATAGGAAGGAAGTGAAGCGCGGAGGGCCTGAAGGGAGGCGAGGGCGTCGCCCCCATACTTGGAGTCTTGCTGCTTCCTCCTCAGATTCATCTCCGTCTTGAGATCAGCGATCTGAGAGGATGGAGTGAGATGAATAAGCACGAGTCCTCCCTCCCTCCTCCAATTCTTTCCCCTCCTCCAGCTTTCCAATGCCCTCCCCTTTCTCTCCCTCTCTCCTCCTTCCCGCCCTCGCCTCCCACCTCTCCCTACTTCCACCGCCTCCCTCCTTTCTCCTCCCTCACCTCTTCTTCATAGACTTCGCACTTCAAGCGGAGAGCAGAGTTCTGTTCGATGAGCTCCTTCACCAGCCTTCAACTCACGTCAGTTGCCGCTCCCCCGGCATCGACGTTCACCTCTGCATGTCCGACCTTGATGATCCCCCCAGCTCTCTTCGCTCTTCCATCGGCCTTGTGCGAGACTGCGCAGTAGCCTCCAGCTCCTCGACCCTCCTCTGCTCCTCAAGTCACACACGGAGAGAGCAGGCAGGCGGGTCACGTGGGCTGCCTTGAGCTCCGAGACGAGTCCCTCCGTCCACTGCTCGGCAACCGTCAGAGGAGGAGGAGGAGGAGGAGGAGGAGGAGGCACCTCCTTGAGACAAGCGTTTTCCTTGGTGAGAGTAGCGATTCTCGCCTGCGGGGAAGCTCAGGGGGACGAGCACGGCATGGGAGGAGGAGCGAGGACCTCGAACTTGGTTCTCTCCTTAGCATGCTGGGACTTCAATCCCTGGAGCAACCCATGTCAGCTGCGAGCTCCTGGGAGCTCCTGACCTCGATTTGCTGCTCGCAGTCAAGCTGCTCTTTCTCCGCCTGAGCCCCTACCAAGGAGAGTCAGCGCGGCATCCGGGGAAGGGGGGGGGGGAAGAGGAGGCGTCGCTCACTCTCGTACGTCCGTCGGAGGTTCAGGAACTTGTTGGTCTGTAGGGACCGTTTCAGGTCCTTCTTGTCCTTGCCTGTTCCCACGGCTTCGCTCAGACCCCATGGCTGGCGAGCCAGCACAAGGTACCTGCTGCCTTGATCTTGGCCGCCTTCTTCTCCACCTGCTCCTTCATCCGATCCCTCTCCTCCAGCGCCTGCACAGCGACGTCAGGGCCTGCGGCTGCCATGCCTCTCCCACCGCTCTTCGGTCCTCCAGCGCCTTCTTCAAGTACTCCCGCAGAGCCTTGATCTCACTGTCTTGCGTCAGGCTAACAGGCCGAGGTCAGCGAGATCCTTACCCCATGCTCCTCCTCCTCCTCCTTATTCTCGGTGTTCGGGCACCTCGAGCTCTTCCATGCTTCTGCGCATGTCTGCCCTTCGCCATCCACGTCCCCGCGCTCCTTGTCCATCGCAAACCCACTGGGAACAGCATTCTTGTCCCTGTGCTGGCAGCCCTTGTCTGTGGTCGAGGTAAGAAGGGGGGGAGAGGAGGGGAGAGAGGAGAAGAGGAGGAATTGTGGTGAACAGCAAGAACTTGAAAGGAAGGCAGGTGAAGAGGAAAGAAGGAGAGAAGGAGAGAGGGACAAGATAAGAAAAGGGAGGACAGGAGGAGGGGAAAGAGGTGGAGGAGGATGAGAGAAAAGAAGAGGAGGAGGAAAGAGAAGAAGAGACGAGGTAGCGAGCGCATCTCACAAGTCTTGAGGGACCGCGAGTCAAGTCGCTGTCCAGGAGCTTTGGTGTTGCATCTGTTGTAACCGTTACACAACTTCAGTTTCAGGGGCAGAAGGGGAGAGCCTCTGATTGTTCATCATGTCCATTTCTTCTTTCAACCTCCTCAGCCACTCCTGCAATCAAACCTGAATAGAGGAGGAGGTGGTGGAGGAGAGGAGAGGAGAGGAGAGGAGAGGAGAGGAGAGGAGAGGAGACAGAGTTGGGGTGAGGAAGGGGCGGGACGGGGAAAGATACTCTCTTGAAATGCTGACCTGTTCGAACTTCTCCTCCTCTGATAACGAAACCGTGTCATAACTTTGCTCCTCCTGCTCTCTTCACCTCACCTTCGTAAGTTGTCGCGCTCCTGGGCCTCTCACTGACCTTGTACTTCGTCTGGAAAAACTCCTGCTGTTGCTGCTTCGACTGCTGTTGCTGCTTCGACTGCTGTTGCTGCTTCGACTGCTGCTGCTGCTGCTGCTGCTGCTCCCCCAGGATGCTCGATGGCTTCAAGAGCTGATCTGCGGTCTTCTCCTCCATCCTCGTCGCTTTCGCCCCTCCTGTGAAATCTTCCCTGGTGACCTCGAAGACTCTCTTGGCCAGTTGGAGAGAGGACGCTGCTCCTTCGACTCCCTGCCAGCAAAGGAAGGAGTGAGGCAAGAGAGGAGAGAGGAGAGAGGAGAGAGGGAAGGCGGGAAAGGACGAGGACCTCGCGTTGTGAGAGCGAGAAGATAAATTTTGAGTTGATCTTCCCCAGGATGGAGTCTTTTAGCACCTTGAGACGTGTCAGAGGGTCCAAAGACGTTTTGGTATCATCAAGTCAAGCGCAGACACAAGAAATCAAAGAATGCATGAGAGGAGAGGAGAGGAGAGGAGAGGAGAGGAGAGGAGAGGAGAGGGGATGGGATGGATTGGGATGGGATGGGATGTGTTAGAAAGGAAACGCGACTCTCCATCAGCATCGCCCTCACCTGCGTCAGCAGGCTGCTCTCCCATGAGACGAACGGAACTCCTTCTGCAATCTCAGCCAAGACGGTCTGCAATGCTGACGGCCAGAGTTCTGCTCAACCCAAAGGACAAGAGAGTGAAAACAAATTCCTCCAGGTACACCTCCCCACTCTCCCAGCACTTGGATCGCGAGCCATCTCCCTCCTTCCTCAGCCTCCATACACTCACTACTACCGCTCAGCACACACACGACTTGTTCCAGCCCTCCCCTTTCTCCCCCCTCTGCCTGCTACTCCCAAGCTTCTCAACCCTCCTCCTCCTCCTCCTCCTCCTCCTCCAATTCATCTTTACCTCTCCCTGTCACTTCATCTCCGACCACCACCATCACCATCTTTGCCATGCGGAAAGGAACGACGCCGTTGCCATTGCGAGCAGCGTCTTTCCTCTGAGACGTCCGTGCTCACCGAAAGGAAGTTGAACAGTTTCATCCTCACCGTGAGATGGTCGTGAGCTTGACAGGTAGGCCTCTTAGACTGATGCATCAAGTCACAATGTGAAGAAAGGAGAGGAAGAGGAGATCGAGGAGAGGAGGGAAAGAGAGAGGAGAGGAGGGAGAGGAGAGGAAGGGCGGGAGGAGAGGAACAAAGGGAGGAGAGAAAGGGAGAGATGAGGGGGAGACAGGGAGAGAAAGAGGAATGAGGAGAGAGGGAAGGTGAGGAGGGAAGAGAGTAGGACCTGCTCGAGCTCAAAAGTGATGACGTGATGCCTGGACAGGATAGAGGAGTTCTCAGCGAATAGACGGAGGAGGAACCGCAAGCAGGACCCAAGATTTGGGGCAGAAGAGTTGGAGGAGGAGGAGGAGGAGGAGGAGGAGGAACGCCTACCTATCCATCGCATCTTCCAGCATTCGGTTCTCAACGAGTTCGCGTAAAAAAATCTGAAAGGTTTTCTGGGAGTAAGAAAACATGCAAGACAACAGTCGCTTGGTAAACATCCACCCTCCAAAGTCTCATTCCCCCTCCTTCTTCCCAGTCCCCTCCCTTCCCCTCCCTTCTCTCCTCCTGCCCCCACCTTGAGCTTCTGCCCTGAGTTCGGCCTCTTGAAGTCCTCCACCACCATCTTCGCATTCTCGAAGAGAACGTCGGTCGTGCTCCCCAGCTCTACGGTCGGGGACTTCCTGTGCTTGTTGCCCTTGCCGTCTGTCGCGCCATCTTCCCCATCCAGGCCGAACCCAGACAACTTGCAGTCTCGGACCAGGTCGATGATTCGTCCTTTCTGCTTGACAGTGATCAGAAAGCAGGCGGCGGGGAGAGGAATCGAGGTAGTGAGGAGGGAAATGGGGGGAGGGGGGGGAAATAGCACAAGGGAGAGCAAGGGAAAGGTGGAGGGAAGAGAAGGGGGAGAGGGGAGGGAGGGAGGGGGGAGGGTCAGGGGGAGGTAGAGACAGGCATGGAGGAAGGGAGAGCAAGTCGCCTCCCTCTCTTCTAGGGCCTGACCTTGGTATCGAGGACCTCGCATACTCCTGTCGACAGCTGGAACCTGTGGCTCGCTGACGACACGTGCCGGATGTGCTCGTACAGCATCTCCACAACCTTGGGGCAGGCGTCACGCAGCCTGACACCGTCCGACACGTCATGGCAGCAGCCTCCTCACCAGCGACATCGCCCCTGGGAACTTCTTCCTGCTTGCTACCTTGTGCCCGAGCGCCTCGTCCCCCAGGAGGAACCTCCTCTTGCCTGCAGCCAGACGTCACTGCCGTACCCTCGAGCGCCGGAGCCCCGTCACCGCTGTGCTGCCCCCCGAGCAAGACGACGACACTGCTCTCTCCTCTCGTCACAGCGTCGACGAGAGGGTAGATCGCCTCCCGGAACACCTGACCCCATCGCTCACTCCACAACCTCCTCCTCCCTCTTAGTGTCTATCTTTGACCGCACCTGAAAGGATGTGACACTGCTCCCATACACTCGATCGAGCTGCGACGACGGTCCGACCCACATGCCATCGCACAACTGGAACAGCAAGTCTCACTGACGCCCGTGCTAGCTCGCAAGCCTCACATTCAGCCGAGTCATGTCCGGCGAAACTTTGAAGGCAAGGGAGGTGTCCAGCTTGGAGCTCTCTGGAGTTTCCCCGGTATCGTCAACTCTGCACACCACTGATGCAGCCTTCTTCATCTCGCTTGGGGGAGGAGCAGGAAAAAAGGAGGATACGATGACGGTCTCAATCCTAGGGTGCAAGAGATCATGGCGAGGAACAAGGATGAAGGGAAGAAAGTGGATCCATGAAGTGGATAAGGCAAGATGAATGAGGAAGAGAATGGGGGTGATGGAGATGGTGGTAGCAGTAGCTACGATGCTCTGCTGACACTGGTGCCGATCACCATGGCACAGGGAGCGAGGAGCGAAGGGGAAGAAGAGAGACGGAACAGAGGGGAAGAGGAGGCGACTGGGTAGCAGGAGAGCAGGAGAGCAGGAAGGATGGCTGTACCTCACACGCCATGTTGTGTTTTCGAATCATGTTTATCGGATACAAGCTTGCCTCGGAGCTGATCTGTATTGACACACCCCTGTAATAACGCACTACTACTACTAGCCTAGTAGGCTAGCCGGCTACCGCCGGGCGCCGGTACCGGGCCCGGCTGATAATCATCGGCCCCCGACTCCGGGACTCAGTGACTCCCTATGCCCCGCCAGGCCCCGGTGAGTCACCGGCCAGCCCGCCGCCGGGCCAGGCCCGCCGAGACTGACTGAGTCACCCATTCTACTCTAGGATGATGTCAAGTTGCGTTCGGTCGGCACTTTGTTCCTGACGATGGACCTGCTGCTAAGGTCTTGGGTGGCATGAAAGCGCGCGGCCGCCTTTCAGCGCCTCACCATGAGGAGCAGGAAATACACAAAGACTTTACTCTCACAGTCAACAAGATCCTCTTCCCCCCGGCACACGACTCTCTTCACCACGCCCCCCTCTCTTCCCCCCTCCTCGGTGGGGCCGCCCGGTACCACAGTGACTGTCACATGGAGGACAAGAGAGTCCGCAACTCGGCTAACGCTTTCGGAGGAGAGTCCCGATGCCTCAGCAGACAAGCTTGGAGCTGGGCGATGGACAGAGTCCCGGAAGGAACAGCCTCTACGAAAGCATCCACCTCGTCGTCTGTGATGTCCCTGAAGAAGCTGCGCACGTACAGGCCCACCTGCTCCTTTGCGCACCGGTCGAACCTAACGTCCACGTCCACTCTCCCCGGTCGGATCAGCGCAGGATCCAGCAGCTCTCGATGGTTGGTGGTCATGAACAGCAGGCGGCCCTCCTGGGCTGCCACCCCGTCAATGGCGTTGAGGAGGCCCGAGAAGGTCAGCCCCCCGGAAGCGTTCTTCGCATGCCGGTCGCGGAATGCGGCATCCACATCCTCTAGCAGGAGGATGCATCTCGGCGCGGACCCGTTGAGCAGTTCCGCGAACGAATCGTCCGTGAGCTTCGAGCTGGAGAGGGAGACAACGTAGATGGGTAGCTTCAGTTCTCCTGCCACCACAGTCAGTGCCATCCCCTGCATGCCCCGATCACTCACCCGCCAGGGCAGAGACCAGGCTGGTCTTGCCGGTGCCCGGAGGGCCATAGAGGAGGTATCCTCGTCGCCAAGGGATGCCTCTTGACGCGTACCACTCCTCAGCCTGCATGAACCGCACGCAGTCGTTCAAGATCCACTGAGCTCTCTCCGGGGGCCAGATCACGACCGAGTCGAGGGGGCGGGAGATTCTGGAGGCGATCTTGTTCCAGCTCGAGTACTCGTCCGCCACGAAGATGCTTGTCCTCGACTTCTCCTTGGCCTCGTACGCCAGCCTCGACTCCCTCACAATGGACAGCAGCTCCTCCTTGCTCCCACCGATGATGTAGATCGTCAGCGTCTCTCGTTCCTTTGGACTCCCGCCACTCTTCTCATCCCCCTGCTCCCGGGAGACCACCAGCCAGTGCTTCTTGTGCCTGATCATGGTCCAACCCGTCGGCAACAGGTAGACATCCTCCTTCTTCTCGTCCCTGTCCAGATCCCTGCCTGCTGGCCCCAAGTAGCGCAGGGAGGTGAAGACAGCAAACTGCTTGCCATCAGAGACGGCAGGGTGTTCAGAGAGCCAGGAAATGATCCATCGAAAGGAATCATCGCGGCTGTTGAACTCGGCGGACAGCACCAACTGTCGGAACACAGCGTCGTAACAAGCCTTGCCAATTTTTCGAGTCATGGTCACCCCTATACCAGCAAGAACCACAGCAATCCCCCCCATGGCGAACTGGCTGCTCATCACTCCCTCCAACGCAGCAGCGTACAACTTCCTCCGCTCCATCCTGCATCGGGTGGGCCTGGGTTGCCAAAGGACCGATCCTGGAACTGTCAGGTTGCCAGAGCCTGATGACAGCAATCTTCGACGAGCTCCTGCTGTACCGGATACTGTTGGAGTAGAGGTGCTCGAGTCAGAAAGATGTCCGACCCACCAGGAGAAGGCTGGGGATCCTACGGAAATCGACCTCTGGCTTCTTGTCGTGAGGCAGCCCCGCGACGAAGTTTGGCGATGGCGGCTAGAGAGATAGACTAGCCCTCGATGAAGGACAAATTCCTCTGATGTACAAGCTATATGAGATGATCCCTCAGAGATAGGGAGCTGGCGTGCAGATGATCGAGCAACACACAAGATCCTTGCTACCCCAATTCTGTTGATCTCTCTCGAAAGAGCGGGGATACAGCACGCCTTCAACAAGAAGTTCCGGCTCCCCAACACCATCTCTTCTTCTGTTTACCAGCATGCAGCGCTGCTCTTCTCTTGTTTCTTGCGCTCCTGCTCTCCTCAGTTCACCGACCACCAAAGTTTCGGCTTGACACAGGGTGTAGGGGGTGATTAGCAGGCTCCAAGTACGGGTGTAAAGCCTATTGGCAACAGGGGGTAGTCAAGATGCTGTGATGATCTCAACGGTATGGTAGGGCTCATCTTTGAGTAAAACTTTAGTCAAATAGAAGGGTATAAAGCCCTCGAAATAGTCAAGATATATCTTAATAAGATCAATATGTTTTATTACATAGTAGAAATAGAAACAGTTTGTGTTATTTAGACCATTTCTGGCCTATTGGTAGAAATCGTTGGAACTTGATGAAACAGGGTTAAAATATGAGAATAATATTAATTTAACAATTAACGCTAAGTATAAGCCTTCTCGCTGGAATTCGGTGGAATAGCCGACTAAGTCCCCTATTAAAGTATCACATCGTTATTTCATATAATGAAATAATCATTATAATTGTTGTATTAGCATGTAAATGTACTATTAACTGATGTTCCCTCGAGTCTTCCACGCGTTCTGCACCCCCTGCTCCCCACCCTCCAACAAATTACAACCCCACCCATCATCTCACCACCCACCATATCGTACACATTACCCCAATAATTACCCAATATTTATATGAAATATTGGGTGGGGGTCATGACCACATCAGCCTCTGTGGTCATGTGAAGCCTACATAACCCCCCCTTTGCAGCAGTCGTCCTCAACCTCTGTTGCCATGGCAGCCCGCCGCCTCAAGCCTCTCCTCGACCGCGTTCTCGTCCAGCGCCTCGAGACTGCCACCAAGATAGGAAGCGTGTACCTCCCTGACACAGCGCAGAGCAAGACCCACCAGGGAACTGTCCTTGCCACTGGACCAGGGGCAAGGACAACCGCCGGGGAAACTATCCCCATGTCTGTGAAGGAGGGAGATACGGTGTTGTTGCCGGAGTATGGAGGGGACAAGGTGAAGATCGACGACAAGGAGTATCTTCTCCTGCGCGAGACTGAGATTCTAGGAGTTCTGGACACGAAGTAGTTGTTGGTGTCTCGGTGAAAGAGTAAAGGTTGCACGAGATGATCGCTTCAGGGTTAGAGGTTGAGCGAGGTTGTCTTGTGCTTGTTTTTTGTTAGCTCGGAAGATAAGATACCTTTCTCACTTCTTCAGACGTTGTTTGTTTGTGCAGGCAGAGCTTCTCCTTCTCCTGGGTTCTTTTTTTTTCAGTGCCCCTGGCAGCGAAAGCTCGCCAGCCAACAAACAGAGAATGAGGGCACAAACAAGCTTCAACAGGAGACTTGAGCGGGAGGCAGGCAACCAGGTTGTTCTGTGCATGTAACTTGATCGACGAAGGAGAACATACTTTGCTGGATGGCTAGTGCGGAATGCAAACAGCCAGACGATACTGCTCTTTGTCCTTCAGAAATGTTTAGATAGGTCACGCGTCCTGTACGGATTCTCCTCCCCATCGTCCTTGCTGGAAAGCTCCTCCTCCAGCCAGCTAGCGGCTACTCCCGACGATCCACTTCGCTCCACCATCCACTCATCCTCGTCCCTTGCTCTCACAGCAGGCAGGCAGTCCTGTGCTGATGTAGTCGGCCTTGTCCTGCCCTTGCCCCTTGCCCTGCTCCCCTTGCCCCTCCCCCTCCCCCGCGTCCACCACCCAGAGAAGTCAATCTGCTTCTGCTTCTTCTTCTCCAGCAGCTCCTCTCGCAGAGTTTGTCTGCGTTCGAGGTCAGCATGTACACCTTCAGGAAGTGGGAGGGACCTGAGTTGAAGGCGGAGGTTCACCCACCATGTATGACATCGCCTCTGATGTCCAATATCAGCCCTCACTGCTATCGACAAGCACCACCACCTCCACCCACACGACCTCCTCCTCCTCCTCCTCCTCCTCCTCCTCCTCCTCCTCCTCCTCCTCCTCCTCCTCTTCATCATCATCCTTCAGTCCTTAGTCTTGGTTGCGCACCTCTAGCCGTTACCCCGCCCCCCTCCTCCTCTCCCTCCCCCTCACTCTCCGCACCTGCATGATGGTCTGCGTATCCACGTCGTCCCGTAGCCGGTGAAGCAGCGAGGGCAGCTGCTTCCACGAGTCGAGGTAAAGGAAGGGAGCGCGGGAGAGGGGATGCCCATCCTCTTGCACCTGATCCAAACCCTGAGCCCAGCGAACGGAGGAGGAGGAGGAGGAGGAGGAGGAGAGGGTGTGAGTCATGTGAGTCGTGAAGCCAAAACAGTGCAGAGGAGGAGGAGGAGGAGGGGGGGAGTGGGGGGGGGGGGCGGCGGGGCGGGAGGTAACGACCTCTGCCTTGAGCATGACAGGTATGGCTCCCATCTCGAGAGCCTCGTACAACCTCATCGTTTCAGCACTGCCAAGATGTCAGAGAGGGAGAGGTGGTGGTGGAGGATGATGATGATGAGGAGAACTCACTGATGGCCATAGGGGATCAGAGCGAACTTGCTGTTCTGCAAAAGAGAGGTATACTCGATGGCCGACAGCTGGCCCCCTGCGAGAAGATTGAGAGGAGTAGCGGCGAGGAGGCGCGGGGGAGCAGGAGGGAGGGAGACGAGAGTCGAGCTCGAGGGGGTCGAATGAGATAGAGAGATGAACGTGCAAGTAAGAGAAGGAAAAGATCGGAGGGATCGAGGAGGAAGGTAATCAGGAGAAGGGAGCGGGGTTGAAGAAAAGTTTGGAGAAAGATAGAGATGGGGAGGGAGGCAGCGGCAGTAGCAGCAGGACGAGGAACGAGGTTACAGGGGAGGGAGAGGATGGAAAGGAGGACAGAAGCAGGGG